ATTTTAGTTGGATCACTTTGAATTGAGTCAACCAAACTTTGATATAACCTAGTTGAATTTAGGTGATTTCGGTCTTGGCTCATATCAAGCTTTGAGTCAACACTTAACCTAAATCTGACCCATTATAGGTTGGTTGGGTTGGATATTTGAGTTGAGTCTAATTTTGTCAAGTTTAGGTATACATATATGGGAAAGATATTTATCAATTCTACTTACCAAAAATTAGATAAAGGATATTCTAAAATAACATCATTTTAATTAATTCTCATGATTAAAATATCTTAGTTTTTTTTTTTTAAATGAGACTATTTTAATTGTTTTTTCATGATATTTCATTAAAATGACATAATTTTAAATATTATTATGCGTAGGTTTTTTTTGGAGGTTTAGCTAATATATATGGAGCAATTTTGCTCCAAATTAAGAGGTTGTTTGTTAGAATAATTTAGAAAACTTGTTTTTAAACTAATTTTTTCTCTAATAAATTTACAAATTTTTATAAATTTGTAAGAGGAGAATTTGTTTTAAAATAGTTTGCTAAAAAACTTTATTAAACAGCCTCTGAACGTTGTCTCAAGAGTAGAGTTCAAGATCCAAAAGCAGGTCGATTATAATTAGCATGAGTAGCTGGAATTTATATGCAGAATTGGACATTGATCATAAATGGGAAGATCCGGCTTCAAACTTAGGGGGTGCATAATAAGTTTGGTGTTTTTTGATCCCCTGTTGCTATGGGGAACAAAGGACGAAATATAATTGATTCCCATCGCTAGAGCGTTTTCCCAATGTGTTGAGCCTCAATGAGGAAGGTGTTAGTGGTTTTATCATTTGATTAATAATGCTAATCCCTCCTTTTGTGCTACTTCTACTCCTAGGGCGGAAGAAGGGACAGGTAGACTGGTAGGAGGGACAAGCAAGCAATAGGAGTGCATAAGAAAAGGAAAAAAAGAAGACCTGGTTAAACTCTCTTGCGATAAGGGACAGAGTTTCTGCCAATATTGATTTTGCCAGAACACTGAAAATAAGAAATACTTATGAAATCAAGCATGTCTTCAAAGAACAAATTAAATTTATGTTAGACTGAGATATTGTAATTTCTCGAATCTTACATTGGTGTGGAATTGTAAGTGAGTTTAGTATATTAGTTTGGAGACCAACCAATAGCAAGTTTCAGCCTGAGTTATTTTAGTTGATATCAAAGTCGCTCACGTGACCCTTGGTTGATAACCCATTAGATGGAGCTCCCAACACTTTTTGGGAGGTGTCAGCACCTAGAGCCCTTACACGAATCCCACATCGATTAGACACATGAGAGGTCTTGGGTTTATAAATGCATACCCACTTGTCATAATCTAATTTTTCATTTAGTTTATTTAAACTTTCATAAAGAAAAATAAAAATAAAAATATATAAAAATAAAAAAATTAATAAAAAATATAAAAATTTATAAAATGTCAAAATAAACACAAAAATATAAAAATATGAATTTTCCTCTTTTTTTAACTAATATATCTTTATTTTATTTCAGGTGCTACATGCAAAAAAAAATTTCAAGAAAAGATTGAAAAAGAAATTCAAGAAAGAGAACCCAATTGAAAGAATTTAAAGTTGGAGGTCAAATTACAAAAATCATACAATGGCCTTGAAGTTTAGCCCGTTTACACTTGAAACCCATCTCAAATGGTCCAATTCCACAAAAAATGGTTAAAATACCCTTTTTGGTCCCTCTACTATAGGAAAAAACCCCTTTTTGATCCCTAAATTTTAAAATTCGGCCCCTTTTTTAGTCCTTTTGTCAATTTTTGCTCACGTGGCATGTTAACTTAATTGGAACAACTGACGTGGGTATGCCAACATGTAAAAAATGCTTACGTGGACTTCTGACACCCTCCACGTCACTCTCCTGTGCAGGAAAAGGAAAAAAAAAAAAATAACCCCAATCTCAGACAAAGGAGAAGTTTAAATGATTTTCTTTTAAAAACCCCAAAAATTGATCGTTCCTTTTTCCTTTCTATTTCTGTCTTAAAAACAATTCCTAACAGAGTAATATCTCTTCTTTCTCTGTTGATTCGCCTTACAATCGAGTCTTCTTATTTTTTGTCGTGATCGATCATTGAATGAGAAGAGAAGCTGAGCAGCAATGTCTGCAGAAATCATAGATATCGACCTGGAAGGGGATTCAGATGGTAGCGGGAATGAGGTATGCTTTTTGTTCACGAATCTTAGTTTGAGATGTGTGAAGGTTATGCTTAATGGTGGTGGTGTTGTCTTGTTCTTGTCTTGGTGTCTGATGAGTGCAGTAAGAAAGTGGGTAAAGTGGGGTTTTCGAATATCTGTTTATTGACTTGCTTTCTGAAAAGGGGCATTTGGTCCCCACCTTATGTGTTTTTCATGGGTCAGTATGTTTACCTGTATGGAAGCTATAAGGTTCTATAATTTGTTGCTGTTTTTTATTGTTCATTGTCGTTAAACTTGGTCGTTGAGATGCACTTATCATGTAAAATATTAAATTTTTTATTTGCATTATTGAATAGGGTGATTGGGGGGATCGAGAAGCATGTGTTGTTTATTCATATAGGCGGTAGGTTAATACAGGATAATGGACTTAAATATGTTGATGGAGAGTGTTGAGACTGGCATGTAGACATAGATAAATTAACTATGAGGGAGTTGTTCCAAAAGATTTCAATAGCACGTTATGATCCAGATATGGTAGAGCATATATGATATTTGGAACCTGAAAAGACACTCAGTAATGGCTTGAAGCAAGTAATAGGTGATGCTTCAATTAAAGAAATTTTGGACATACCGAGGGTCAACAATAAGGTTCACATATATGTAATTCATATACTAGATTTCCCTTTTATGGTTGAACAATTTCTTGCATTACTAGCACCTGGCGATGATGTAAACAAGGGTTAGGAAACTGATAATGGTAGTAAAGGGGTTGAGACTGAGGGTCTTACTCATGGTAAGGGGGTTGATGGTGAGGTTCGTGTGGAGGAAGGCCAAAAGGAGAGTGTAGTTGAGGATTATTATGAACCTGGACAAGATTTTAATGCAAAAGGTGTTTGGTTAGAGAAGGAAGATGAAGCTAGTGTCGAGAAGGAACGTGCAGGTGCATCAAAAAGTGATAATGTGGCTGATGACCATAATGATGATCTCAATGGGGACAAAGAGGCAAAAGGTGATGAAGGGCATTATGATCCTGTTATGGATATCCCTGAGTTAATAGATAACGAAGGTGAGGAGGCTATGGAGGCCAGAAAGAAGGTCAAGTCCTTTTGTTATAATTTCCAAGAGAATAATGCAGGACCTAGTTACTATCATGATGGTGGTATGTCATTGTCTTTTCATAGTTGTAATGTTTTTTTTTTTTTTTTGTGTTTTGGTTATGTTTTCATATACTGTATGTAAATTCAATTAATTTAGGTGTGAATGCAGTAAGTCCTAGTAAACCTCTTGCAATAGTCCATGATGATGGTGATGAAATTCAAAGTGATACAGAATATAGTTACATTTCTATTGAAGAAGATGATGGAAGTGATGCTGATCATGCTTCTAGGAGGAGAGCTACACACGCTGTTTATGAAGAAGTTGAAGATGCTCTTCCAGATATAAGGTTAAGGATGATTTTTGTGAGCAAGGCACATTTTAAAGCTGTTGTTGACAGATGCAACATGATGCAAAGGAAGGATGTTAAATGGAAGAAGAATGACAATAAATGGAAGAAGAATGACAACAAATGGATTAAGGCTATTTGTAAACATGCCCCAAGCTTTGATTGGAAAATATTATTATCAAAGGATGCGGTGACAGATTCTTGGATGGTGAAGACATATATTCATGAGCATACCTGTGGTGAGGAGTTGACAAGTAAGAGATGCAACTCAACAAGTGCATCAAAGTATTTGGTTAAGAAGATGGGTCTTGCTTCTCTTTACTTGAAAGCAGATGACACTTTTCAAACCATCCGGAGAAACATTGGGTTGGAGTTAACTGGAAAACAATGCAAGAAGGCAAGAGAGAAAATTGCCCGTGTGTTTGAAGGAAATTGTTTGATGGAATATAGTAAACTGTGGGACTATGTTGCTGAGCTGAGGAGAAGAGATCCAGCAGCCACAATTCTCATTTAGGCACCAAGGCCGACAACAAATGCAAATTCTATTTTCATGAGAATGTATGTATGTTTTAGCGTTATGAAACTTGGATTTGTTGCTGGTTGTAGGCATGTAATAGGGGTTGAAAGAGCTTTTCTTAAGAGAGCATATAAAGGAGTTTTCCTGGTGGCAGTTGGATGGGATGCCAATGATCAGATGTACCCATTGGCATGGGTAGTTGTCAAAGTTGAGAAGACAGAGGCTTGGAGATGGTTTTTAGAAGAACTGTAATTAGATATGCAAATTGGTAGAGGCAATAGATTCACATTTATATCAGACCAATAGAAGGTTATTGCTAGCTTTGTTTCTTTGTTTTAACTAAGGTTCCAACTTGATCCCTGTACTTTTAAAGTTCAGGGACCAAGTTGGGATCTTCTGTTGTAATAATATTTTATTTTTATCCATTTGATTGGCATTTAATACATTATAATGTGATTGGTAGGGGCTAATAAATGCAATTAAAGAGCTGTTTCCAGATGTTAAACATAGAAGATGTGCAAGACACATATATGCCAACTTTTGAAAGGATAATCTAGGCAAGGAGCTGTAGAGGGCATTTTGGAAATGCACAAAGGCAACCATTGAAGCTGATTTCATTAAGGCATTGGGTGAATTGACCAACATTAAACAGAGAGCTAGGGCTGTAGTCTTAAAAGTACACCCACAGTTTTGGTCAAAGGCATTCTTGATGAAAGAAAGAAAATGTATATTTAAAGTGTGCTTAATCATTAACATTTGTGGAATTATGGGTTTAGGAGTTTTATTTTTCTATAAGTAATTTCATAAATGTTCATTTTATTCATATTGTGCGAATTTTGTGATGATTAAAGGTTTGATGTTAAATGGAGAAGAATTAGAAGAAAAGGACTTAAATGCAAAGAGCTGGAAAGATGAGGATCCAAGGATGAATCTGGAACTTTGAAGGCTAAAGTGAAATTTCTCCATATTTGATTTAGAGCAAAGTTCACGTTCGTGAATTTGCCGTGCCGTCTGTGAAGTCGCCGTGTCCAGCTCAAAGGAATTCCAGTAGCATTAGGGGTTTCGCAACCTATTCCAGGTTCCGACCTGTGATCACTGTGGCACAAAAACAGAATGAAGCAGGGTTCCGCAACCTTGAAGCAAGTTTCGACCCCTCACTGACAATGTTATGCGGGAAGAAAAAAAAAATTAATTCCCCAAAGCTGCTATCCTAGTTACCAAACACTCCTATTTTATTCCTAATATAAATAGGAGCCTTGGAAACTAGGTTTAACATCTAGAGAAACAGTTCCTAGGTTTCTATTTTCTTCTTTTCCAAAGCTAGAGAATTATGTCAAAGGGCAACTAAACTTTCAACAAGATTAGGGAGGATCTTGATTGAGGAGTTTGACTTGTTATCTTATTTTGATTTCTTCATGGATTTTATTGTTTAATTTTATTTTTGAGAGATTATTAATTATTTTTTAGATTTGAAAACCCTGAAAGTTATATTTATCAAATTTCATATAAGATTAGTCATGCTCTTTTTATGTGTGATTTGTTAGAATATAATTGATTGATAGATTTGTTTTGCGGGTTGATCCTTTACTGCAGTATTGTCGATTAGATATATTATCGCTGTCGGATAGCTTGCAATGATAAATCGGTTTGTTCTTCATTGAAATTAATTTCTCTCAAAATAAATACATTAGTTATTATTATTGGTCTTCACAGTTAAATCTTCCGATTGATTGTTTGGGATGTGAAACATGCAATTGAGTAATAAATAGGAATCAAAATTTATAACAGTTAAACAAATCAATTAAGTGAACCTTGAAGTCTTGTTCATCATAATATTGTTTGAAATCTTTTATAATTATCATCTTTTATTTAAATATTTTTATTCTTAATTTTAGAATTCATCTTTTAATTTAATTTCTCATTGTGACAACTCTTTTTGTTGATTTAATATAGCTTCCCTGTGGATTCGACACCTAAAGCTACGCTACAACAACCACTTAGCCGAAGGGTATTAATTTTGGGGTGAGACATCAATTCTTCAAGGAAGACAGCAAGTCAGATGTAGTTGATAACAATATGTGTGAAGTTTTTAATGGTTTAATTGTTGATTCAAGGCACAAGTCTATTTTCTCAATGCTTGAAGATCTTAGGATGATGTGTGGTAGGAGGACTATTGCTAGAAGGACATTTGCAGAAGAGAAGTTTGTTGGTGATTTTGGTCCTAAAATATGGGAGAAGATTGTTGTAAGTAGGGAAGGAAGCAAGAGATGCAGGGTGCTATGGCCTGGTGGTGCTGGTTATGAGGTTGAAGAAGAAGACAAGGGTAAATTTATTGTTGATATAAATAGGAGGACTTGTACTTGCAAGTGCTGGAACATGACAGGCATACCTTGTAAGCATGTTGTAAGTGTCATTAAATTGAGGAAGGAAAAAGATGAACACTATGTAAGCCATTGGTATAGCAAGCATATGTTCTTGGCAAGTTACGAATATGAAGTTCCTTGTATTAAGAGGATGCCACAGTGGAAGGAAATTAAAATGCCCCAAATTCAGCCACCATTGCCTAGGAAAATGCCAGGCCGACCAAAAAAAAAAGGGTGTTAGAAGAATGGGAAGGGCAAACATCACTCTCTAAGAAAGGAAGGGTGATGACTTGTAAAAAATGCTTCAAAAGAGGGCACAATTCAAGGACTTGTAAAGGACAGCCTCCTAACACTGTAAGTGCTAATATTTGACAACTTAAGAATTATGTAAAGGGTTTTTATATATGTAAAATGTTACAAATTATGTTTGTAATTGTTATTATTTTTTTGGACAAATTGATTTTATTGTTATTCAGGAAGCTGAAAACAATGAAGCTTTTGAGGCCACTGAGAACTTGAATGATAACAACCCAGTGAGCCAAGTTGATGATCCTGCAAGTCAAGTGGTTAATGAAGAAAGAAGACATGCCCAGGAGCGAAGAACCAGAGAGAAGAGGAAAAGAGAAAAGAAATCTGGTAGTCAAAGGCCTACCGTGGTGAGGGCTATTTATATTTTAAATTCTTGTTTGCTTTTATTATTATTTATTTTAGAATACTAAAAATCCTCAATGCGGCAAGAAAAAAGATCCCAAACAGCAAATAGCAAGAAGAGGCCAAAGAAAGGATCAACCTCATCAGCTATAACTCATACTGCCCCCACAGATGCAGCATTCCCAAGAGCATAACCTCAAAACAACCTAGCTGCTGCATCTAACCCACCACAGGAACAAAATAAGAGAGGTGAGGCTAAGCAAAAGAAATTTGGTAGTCAATTGCACACAATGGCCAAAGCCAGACGGGGGAAAGGTGGACGGTCAGGTGCTAGGGAGTGAAGGTGTTGATGGTTGTGTTTTTTTGTCCTTTGAAGTTGACTGGTGCATTAGAAATGAAGCTTTTTTTTTTGTTTTTTGTCATTTAACCTATCATTACATGTAAACTTAGGCAACTTCATGCGAATTCCTGCTTTGTATATGGTGTATATGCTGTTGTGCATATGATGGCTTCATGGGACAGGTTGTATGTATATTGGTACACCTTTGATATCCAGACTGATGTTAATGGTGCAAATATTTTGGATTTAACCTTTTGGAATCAAGAATTGTTCTTGACTGAAAAGTCTTGTGTTTTGGTTGAGAATGACATTTTGCTTTGTATTTACTAGTATGAAATTAAACTTGTACAGTGAATATATCAAATTAATAGACCATGTGCCATTTATATAGGGAACAAATTACATTCCTTTTACATAAAAAGGCAAAAAGGCAAATAATGCACAAAAGACACTAGTCTCCCATCCTGTCATTTTCCCAGTTTTCCCAGCAATGTTAATGCAATCTATGCAACCCAATAAACACAGAAACAAGAAGATAGACAATGCAAACCACACAATATATTTGACAACTTATAAGTGCTCTGACACATATCTTCTCACTCCTCTTCACTTTCTTCTCCAAGCCTTTGATATTCTTAACGAATGCCTCACATTGAACCTCAAGTCACCAGTTTCTTCCAGGAATTTCCCATTTTCAGACATCAAGTTTGCATTTTCCTGCAACGATTTCCCCTTTTCAGCCATAAGATTTTCGTTTTCTTCCTTGTAACTTTGAATCTCTTTCTCGAGCCTAATTTACTTATCTTTAAGTCGCAGCAAGAGATCCCTGGCTCTTCCCTCAATCAGCTCATCACCATCAAGAAAGTGGAAGAAATCGCATGCATTCCCAGCCTTCCCAACCTTCCCAACCTAAATAGCATGAAATTAGTAGTTTAGGTTTTTTTTTTTTAAATTTTCATTCTAAACATGAACAGCTCACCTCGAATTTAGGACATCCCCAAAATCTTCTTCCCATGTTTTGGTAAGTCAGTGACGTTCTCAAAACAGCATCCAAACCGCACCTGCAAACATATTTTTTTATAAGAAAGTTGCTAGTTGATGCAAAATCAGTGAACGAGTTGCTTCGTGAAAACCCACCCTCCATTTTGAATAAAGGGTTGATTATGAACGAAAAAACAAGAGTTTTGAAAGCAAGAAAATGATTTCTAGAAAGCAAGAAGATGATTTCTAGACAGGGAATTGGAAAAAAAAATTGGAGAATTTAGGGTTATGTTATGGTAGGGTTCAAGGACAATCGACTTATATTTACCGCGTATTTCAGAATGTGGGTCTCATTGTTTATGGTTTTTTTCCTTTTCCCGCATGGGAGAGTGACGTGGAGGGTGTCAGAAGTCCACGTAAGCATTTTTTACATGTTGTCATACCCACGTCAGCTATTCTAGTTAAGCTAACGTAGCACGTGAGCAAAAATTGACGGAAGGACTAAAAATGGGCCGGATTTTAAAATTTAGGGATCAAAAAGGGGATTTTTTCAGTACAAGGACCAAAAGGGGCTTTTTCCTATAGTAGAGGGACCAAAAAGGGTATTTAACCTATAATTTAATAAATAGTTATTAAATAAAAATTTCTTTCCTTTTTTTTTTCTCTCCTCCTCTTTTCCTTTCTCCTTCCCCTGCCTACTGGGTTCCTTCGAACCCAGCACGCCTGGGTTCTTTGGAAGCTTCTTCATTCTTGTTTTCTCTTTTGTTTTGCTTCTTCTTTTCTCTCCCCTCTCTTCTCTTTCTCATCCTTTTTGTTTTTCCCTTTTCTACTGAGAACCCAACCAAGAAAACTCGATTAGAGTATTTTCCCTCCTTTTCTCAATATTTTTGAAAGAAATCCCATGATTTTTTCTCATTGGTTCTCATTTTCTTCTTCTTCTTTTTTTCTTTTGTTTCTTTGTTGGCTACAGTCATGCTGGGCTATCTTTGTATATGATTTAGACTTTTGTGTGGCTTCTGCTTGTTTGAATTTCAAGATCTAGCTACTGTTGGTGTTGATTGAAGGGATGTTGTGTTTTTTGTATTTTCCTTTTCTTTTACAAATCTGGTATAGTTTGTAGTATGATTGATTTTCTAAATCTTTATAGATTTGATATAAGTTTGCAGTGTAATTGATTTTTTGAATCCGATCTATTCACCACTATTATTGTGCGAGGAACTAGATTTGGGTTCCATTAGAAAGGAGGTTTGGTGAAGAAGGAGAGGTTTGGTGAAGAAGGTTCCATTTTCCTTCTGGTAATCATGTGTTGATTAGAAGTTAAAATCACCACTAATAGAGAAGAAAGGAGACAGAGAGATAGGTGGGGATCGAAAATTGAAGAGGAGGAGAAATGAAAAGGCAGCAAATGGAGAAAGAGGTAAGAAGTTGGCTTAGATTTCTTTTTTGGTTTTTGGGTTTCTGGATTAAGCATATTTATAAAGCTAGAGATGATGATCAAAGTGATGTATGGAGATGGTGATCGGAGTGGTAAAGGATGATCAGAGCAATGAGGGATGATCAGTGCTGAGTGGGTTGCAAGATGAAGACGCATTTGAGGATAGAGAGACAAGAAGGGAGAAAAAGAGGGGTTGGAAGATAAAGATGGGGGTATTTAAGGAATTAAAATTTTTTTAATATATAAATAAATTAAAATGATGTGGACAATAAAATGCCACGGTAGGTTAAGTTATTTTTTCACATAATTAAAGATTTAAAATAAGAATTGATTTCATGGCAACTTAACGTGCCATTTGGCACTTCTGTTGATGGAAGGATCAAATTAGTCCTGAAAATTGAAGTTTAAGGATAGTTTTAGTATTTTTTGAAGTTCGAGGGTAGATTTGGTTAAAAAATGAAAGTTGAGGGACCAAATCGAGTATTAACCAAAAAGAAAACCAAAAGGCTAGAAAAAATTGTAACCACACAAATACTTATTATGCCATGCATTATAATTCTATGCATTTATTTTTCATAAATTTTAAGCATCTATTCATCCTCCTTCATTTTAACGCATTATGTATGTAATGAAAACTAATAAGGTTAAATACTCTTTTTGGTCCCTCTACTATAGGAAAAAGCCCTTTTTTGGTCCCTGTACCGAAAAAATTCCCTTTTTGGTCCTTACTGTTCACA